GAGCGACTTGTGGGGCGACGACCTGTCCCATCAAGAGCGATCCCAGGGCGACTGCAAAGCCGCGTGCCTGGCAAACCCCATCTGCAACGCGTTCACGTGGGTGCCAAGCCGCAAGGACTTTGGCCAGTGCTACCTCAAGCACCTCCAAGACCCGGCGCGGTGCCCGACGTCGCACGACGGCACGAACAAGCCGTACATGGTGTCGTGCAAGCTCCCGCCCCAGTCGTGGGTCATGTACAAGGGCATCAACCTGTTTGGCGACACGCTCGCGTCGCCCGCCAACGTCAAATCGATCGACGAGTGCGTGCAGCTGTGCCAGCAGAACCCCCAGTGCAACTCGGCGTCGTACACGGGGTACTACCCGACGTGCGAGCTCAAGACGACCGCCAAGACGTTCCAGTACGCGATCAGCAAGGCGGTGGACCTGAAGGCGTTCTCGGCGATGGTGCACAACTACAAGTTTTGCCGCGCCGAGGCCGACTTGTTTGGGATTGGCGACGTGTTTGACTTCAAGGGGTCGTTCCAAGACTGCGCCAAGTGCATCGACACCACCAAGGGGACGAATGCGTTTACGTGGACGGCGGGACCGACGGGGTACTACACGGTGCCGCTCGAGGAGTTTGGCCATTGCTACTGCAAAAAGATCGACTCGTTCGACCCGGCCGCGCTCGGGTACACGCAGGGCGTGTTTTGCCACGACGGATGAGCGACGAACATCCATGATGGTGTTTATTTTAACGAGATGTGCTTTTGATGCACGTGCCACCGGCACAACGTGGGCCTACCTCCGTTCGCCGTTGGCAATGCACGCGTCCGTGGCGGCGCGTGAAGCGTTGTCGGCGTGTGTTGGTCCGCACAACATGGCGAGCTTTACACAGGCAGCTGGGGCAATGCCACTGAAGTGGCAAACTTGATCTCGCATAGACACTGTGCACACGCGAGAGCACTGTCTCCTCGAGACATCGTAATCCATGCACCAGAGTCTTCTTGAAAGGCTGCGATCGGCTCCAGGTTGTAGTGTGGGGCTGGCTCCGTCGACATCTGAAACGAGCCTGTGCCGCTTGGTCATGTTGGCGGTGGTCGTGACGTGGTGTGTTTACAACATGGGGCCTATATCGGTGCAAAAACGCCCATCTCCTCGCCGATCGTGATGTCGTCGAGTGCAAATCACACCGGTCGCTGTCGCCACTGCCAAAGATGCCACCCGCGCAGAGTGTGGTCTGTCGTAGCAGCCCTGCTGCGACGGTGGACCAACGAAGGTCGCTTTGGATCGCGGCCTCGGCTCGATGGCCCAAGCCGACGCTCGGTCCAACCGTATGCAGACTCAATGACGTGGGCAACAGGCCAACACCCACTTGATACCAGGTGTCCAGGTCGCCTTTCTGATTGCGGAAATCGCGGTGATGGAGCGGCTCGTCGCCGACGCCGCACGATGTCGCAGCCTCGACTGCTTTTTTCGTGGGGCACGTGTACAGTCGACATCTCGAGGAGGCACGCCATCGACGACGCCCCCACCGATGGGCCATCGTCCTCGCGCGCGGCGGCAGGATGCGGTTTCGCGGTGGCTCCTGTCTTTGTGGCGGGAGCTGGCCTCACGTACCGTTGCCGCACGCCAACCACCCTTCGACGCTGTCCAGCCACCGCCCCATTCCCACGCACAGGCATCAACGTTCGAGTCAGTCACCTGCCAGCGCGACTGAACCCTCAAAACTATCGAACGACTAGCCAGAACGTCCCCTGGCTGCCGTTGGGTTCGCCAGCCCCACACGCCGTCGGAGATTCCGTCTCTTCTCGTGTTTCGCCTGTGCTTGCCCGAAAAGAGATGCCACCGCCGTCGCCGGGGATTCGGGCACGCAGTGCGGGGGAGGAATTCAGAGCTCGCGACGCGTTGTTCCTTGCGTCCCCACCAGCTCCGCATGCATCTTCATGGCTCCTTGGTGTGCGTGGTGTTAGAAATGATGCACATGCTGTTGCATGCCGTCGTCCGTCCGTCGTGCGGACCCTGGAACGATAACGCAACATCCCCGAATCATGGGTGCTACGACCAAGGATACACTGGATTCAATTATATCGTGTCAGCCCGCCGTTGAATTCACCCCTCCTGAGGCCGTTTCTGCCGTGCTTTGTCGAGATCCAGCGTTCATTTCTCGAAGCGGCACCACGACGTCGTCGACATACTCGGCGCGTTGGGGATGGATATCCATGGGTCTAGAGGTGCCAGCACGCTGAAGCGCGCCAGCAGCCGTGCACGAGACAGCACGCTGCTTTCATCGCAGGCATTCAGCGGATCCCCAGGTGGATCCGACATCCTTGGCAAGCTCACGTCGATGCTTCGTGGCCACAACTCGTACTCTGAACTGGTCGATGATTGTTGTTTCGACGATCCGCGGTACAGCAACTCTGGTGCGCCGACGCGTCCGTTGACACCTGCGTCGCCGCTTTTGACGTGGGATTTGGATTCTCCGCACACGATCGGACGCGTTCGATCCAACACGACGTCGACAGTCGCCCGGCATTCATCGGCTTCGTCGACCATCCGTCGACAGAGCTTGAGTCCACGACGACGTCACCACGACACGATTCTCGTCACGGAATTCAAGTTTCTCCATAAATCATTTGCCCCGCCGTTCCCTTTGGCTGCGTCGCAAGCGGAGGACGGTCCACCTGCGCCACTGTCTCCGTTTCGAGCATCCGTGGACGACGTCTTGTTCGACAACAACGACGACGACGACGCTGAGAGCGACAACAACATTTCGATTGACCCCGGCAACCTTCGAGACAGCGTCCGCCATCTCGTGCGGCATATTCAGCGCCACGATTCCGGCGAATGCACAGCCATGCTGGAGTGTTCGGACGTGACGCCGCCAGATTTGGACCTTGACGACGATCAGATCTGCTTGCTAGGATCGTCTTCCGCCGACCGCATGTCGAGCGAAGCCTTTCCTGGGCTCGACGACGATACGTTTGAGGACTTGTCGACTCCAGAGCGATCTTCTGACAAGGACGAGTCGGACTCGCTCCCTATGGACAGCAGAAGGCCATCCATCGCCGCGCACAGCAACCAAGACGCCGATGACGATGACGACGAGCAGACATTTGACGACGATGACATCCCAGTGCTGACCACGTCTGTGCGAAACCTCGTGCTGAATCTCCGACGAGACTGCGCACGACAGTCGCTGCACCCTGTAGACTTGATCGGAGTCCCGACCACGCATCATCACCACCACCATCACCATCTCCACCACCACCCGCATGCACAAAACCAACCGAGAGCTTCCCAACCATCCATTCGCCGCCGTCGCAACCACTCCCATCCACTCGATTCGCCATCGAGAGGGATGGTGCCCCCGCCTCCTCCATTTGCAGCTGTCGCTCCACGAGACACCAAGCCTCTGCACTTTTCGCGACTTATGTCGTCTGTGGCCGGTGGACTCCGGCGCCTCAGCATTCACAAATCGAGGGCCCCCGCAGGCCCTGCAGCCACCCGTTTCTCGACGTTCTCTGGCCATCCATCCCACAATTCGTCTCCTGGAGCGCCGCCCCACGTCGCGGCGTCCCCCGACATTGACGGCGCTCGATGGAAAATCATCGAGCTCGCGTTTCGTTTTGGCGGGCCGCACCGGTACTACCTCGTCCAAGCCGTGAACATGTTTTACCCTTTGACCAAATACGGCCGACGCGGCGGTCCCCACTCGACGCGGCTCGTGTGCCACCCGTACGGCACCCTTCAGTGGGAGCATAAACGAGGAGGGTTTAGTGCCCCCATGGACCTTGCGCTCGCGTCGCATGTCGTGGATGGCCGGGAGACGCCGGTCTTTCACAAGTGCGATGGCCATGGCGGCGGGTATGGCACTAGTTACAACGCGCGGTCGTGTTCGCTGAGCGTCGTCTTCGGGCATCGCACGCTCGACTTGGAAACGCAGAGTGCCGACCACCGCGACTGGCTCGGGTCGGCGCTGCGTACGCTTATGCAATACGCCAAGAAGCAGCGACAGGCCGAAGCGATGGTTTTGAGCGAAGAGGCCGCTGCCAACGCACGCACCAAGTCCGACGACGCGGCATCCCCGCCAGTGATGGCCCCTATTATTGCTTGAACGCGACAACGCGACCGCCGATCATTCCGTGCTTCTTGGTGTGCTGCCTTCGAACATGCGCATGTTTGGAATGGCCACGGCACTCGGATGGATGTCCCCAACGACGTTTGAATGGGATGTGTGCCGCGCCATGGGGGCACACCGTGCATGACGCACTAGACTCTTTTTGTACACACGTTTGACGGAGCCTGCCCTAGCCAGCTACCAAGCGAGCACGAGAGAGGAAGAGGAGTCGCGTTCGTGGCTAGGCATGATGGAGATGATGTTGGAACGATGTGTTGGAGGTCGATGTGGCGTTGTTGGCAGTGGGTGTTTTCAGAGCATTCAGCGCGACGACGGCGTCGACGCCGTGCAAGTCGAGTCCTGGAGTCACGCGCACGTGGCGTTTGAGTAAATCGATGGCGTGCCACACTTGTTCTTTCGTTGGCGAGACTTCGACGGGCAAGAGCCCGCCGTTGACACTGCCATGACCCGGTCCATTCCCACTCGATGTGCCATGGTTGGTCGCTGCCGACGTCAACGAGCTGCTGCTACTCGCGCCGCCTTCGACCGCTTCGTCGAGATTGCCCGGTCGAAGCTGCCATCGTGAGGCCCGTCAGATTCATTCTTCACGCATCCACGTACCTCGAGGTAGCCGTGTTTGAGCAAAACACTACGCACGATCTGGGCGTCGTCGACGCCGGCGTCGACGACGGACGCTTTCCCGTCGAGGTCGATCCAGAGCTGGGCGTTGGGCTCCTGGAGCCCGACCCACGGAAGAAACGGCGGCATTTGGTGGGCAATGTCGGCCAAGAGTCGTTGGAGGTCCTGCAGCGCGGTGGATGGCGATGCCACGTGGCTGAATCGAGAGAGAGACGTTGCTACGGTGGAGGAGGGGAGCAAGCCAGACGCAACCCATGCCGCGACGATTTCGGGCGGCCGGAGGCTGTGCAGCGCGACGGACAACCAGTGGAGAACGTTCTTGAACGTCCATTGGAGCTGGGGGTCCATCAAACTCGCGAGGTCGCGGCACCGGGCAAACAGCGCGTCGATTTCTTCGTATCGGAAGCGCGCTTTAAACGACGAAATCAGGCCCAAGTGGCACGGATGGCACGTGGCGAGATGAAAATTGGGCGGCAAAAACACCAGCCGCAACGACTCAAAATGAAAAAATGTGCGCTGGTCGCCGAGCGAATCGAGAAGCATCGCGGCCTTCACGTGGGGAATCGCGCTGTCCAGCAGCACGTGAAATGTACGTTTCCGCGCCTTGGCGACGGCGTTGAGCTGCTTCAGGACGTGCATGAACGTATGCGCGACTTGGTATCCAGACTTGGTCACGTCGTACAGGATCCGATACCGTCGGCGCAAGTCTAGATTCGCCATCGTGCACAGCATCGGTGGCGGACTCCCTCCGTTTGTCGCCGCGCTGTTGCGATCGGTGCCAATCACTTGCAAGTCGAAACTTTCCCCCGCTGCATTGACAAACAACCCGATCGTGAGGCGGCTTCCACCACTAGTTCCACCGGCATCTGTGTGATCCGCTCCATGGCCGTCGACTGGGTGCGTCGCCGTCGAGCCGTGTTGCGGTGGCGGAGGCTTGGACGCAATCGCAAACTCGGTCCCTGTCCAAATATCTTGGGGGTCGACATTCTCGAGCATGTGGTGGAGCTCGCGCTGTCGTGTTTGAAAGTCCACCGTCTTGATCGACGCGGAAAACGGCGCGTGGTGGGGTTGCCCGTGGTCGGTGGACGTCGCCGTGGTGGCCCTGGTCGTGAAGCTGCCGAACCGCGTGCGGTACCCGTCCAGCCACCCGTTTGACGCGCTGAACTTGCTTAGCGCAACGTGGACCTTGTCGGGAAGCCGTGCGTACGGATCGGAGAGCATCATTTGGGCGAGCTGCATGGCTTTCCCTTGCAGCGCCGCACCAGTCAACTTTGTCTCGGGGTTGCTCACCTTCGTTTCCATGCGCCACTTGTGGAGCGCTTCGTCGAGGACCTTGAGATCGTACGAACATTTCGTCGTTTTGCGCTTCTTCTTGACCATGTCGGCCGAGTCCGTTTCGTGGCGAATCAACTCGGTGTTCTTGCAGATGTTGGTGATAGTCGTGCGCCCGACTTGGAACTTTTCGGCAAGCTCCTAACAGTGAAAACGTCATGATAGGTTGAAAGAGAAGGGGAAGGAAGATGGGCGCCAGTACACGATGGGTAAATTGGTTGCTGGCGGCCAAGTCGACGACTTGACGTTTCTGGCCAAGGGTCAGCCGCTCTCTCTTACGTGTGCCCTTCGTAGACGTCACGTCTTCGTCCGCCACGTTGTCATCGTACTCGTTGCCCATTGTATTGCCATGAAGCATGTCGGTGACCGGAGCGTCCTCCGCCGGTGGCAGCATCAGGAGCGAGTCGTCTTCCATCTCCATGGTGCGATGTCCTTCTTTCGAGTATTTTTTCGACTTCCCCCTCGATTTAAAAACCACCCCGAGATACAGAGTGTAGGACATTCTCAGTTCATGTTTTGTTTTTATGCAATGAGTGAATGTGAATAAATAAAGAATTCCCATGGGGTTTTGAATCCATTCTTAAAATGCAAAACTCATTTTGACAACACGTTATACATAAAACGTAGCTATCTCTCGATGGAATACTCTTAAAACGTGCCGGTTTATACTAGATTCCATTTAACGTGTCGTGGCGGTGGCACCACACACACCACCGACAAACATTACATGAGTGCAAAGAGGAAGGACGGCCCGGCCGCGGACGCGGCCGCTGCGCAAGCCTCGAAGCGCAAGAAGTGTCCTTATCTGGATACTATACGTCCCCAGCTTCTGGACTTTGACTTCGAGAAGGTGTGCTCGATCAGCTTGTCCGACCAGAATGCGTATGCGTGCCTGGTGTGCGGCAAGTATTTTCAAGGACGTGGACCCAACACGCACGCGTTCACGCATTCGGTGCAGAGCTTCCATCATGTGTTCATCAACTTGTCCACGGACAAGATCTACTGTTTGCCTGACAACTACGAAGTCACGGACCTGTCGCTGGCGCCGATCAAGAACGCTCTCCGACCGTCGTTCACCCCTGAGTACATTGCTTCTCTCGACACGAATCGCACCCTTGCCCAGGACAGCTTTGGCGTGTCATACTTGCCTGGCTTCATTGGTCTGAACAACCTGAAGAAGACCGACTACATCTCCGTGGTGCTCCAAGCGCTGGCGCACGTCACTCCCCTCCGAGACTACTTTCTTCGACCAGAAAACTACGCCGCCGCTGTGGCGAAGACGCGCTCGCCACTTGTCCTGCGCTTTGGCGAGCTTATTCGCAAACTATGGAGTCCGCACAACATCAAAAACACGGTACATTCCGGCATCTTGCTCTCTCGGCCGACTTGACCATTTGCGTACAGATCAGTCCACACGAAATAGTCCAAGCGATTTCCGTGGTCAGCAAGAAGCGCTTCCACATCGGCCAACAAAGTGACGCCCTGGAGTTTCTATCATGGTTCCTCAACGAGCTCCATCGCGTACGTGCATACACGTCGATGCATGCCGACGATTGCACCGCGGCATATCGTTGTAGGGACTCGGCGGCACCAAGACTCCAGGCTCGAGCATCGTTCATAAAGTCTTCCAAGGCATGGTTCACGTCACAACGTTGCCGGCATCGGGAGCGGTCGACAACGACGCGTCGGGGGTGTCCACTGCCGTGCCCTTTTTGTACGCGATGGAATCGCCCACGACAGTTTGCACTCATGGCATATCGTATCACGTAGGTATTTGACGTTGGATTTGCCGCCGACGCCGCTGTTTAAAGACTCGCAGGGCGGAAATGTCATTCCCCAAGTGCCGCTGTTCACCGTGCTCGACAAGTTTGACGGAGAAAAGATCACGGTACAAAAGCGTGGCATTTGATTTTTTTTTGCAGCATGCACGGTGGATGCGATATCGGGTGGCCGTGGGCGCGCTTGAAATACTGAGCCATGGTGTCCTCACGCTGGGTTTCGTGGAGTAGCACGTGCTGCAAGGAGCACTGCGCCAGCAAAAGCAGTACGCGATCGACTCGTTGCCGCCGTACTTGATTTTTCACATTCACCGGTTCACGAAAAACAACTTTTTCACGGAAAAGAACCCGACGATCGTGAATTTTCCCGTCAAGAACCTTGAGCTGAGAGATTACGTGGCATCGCGGTTGCCAACCGAGGCCGAAGTCGCCGAGATGTCGACAAAGGAACTGAAGGCGCTGCTGTCGCACTGCGGTGGGTCGGCGGCCGGAATCGTCGACAAGGCCGAGTTGGCGGCACAAGTGAACGCGCATGTGGCGACGGCGTCGCAGACCAAGTACAACTTGATCGCCAACATTTGCCACGACAGCCCGGTCACGATCGGGAAGGAGACAACTGCTATCAACATGGACCCGCTCGCGGATGGCACGTACCGCGTGCATGTTCAAAACCGATCGACCGACCAGTGGTACGAGATCCAAGACCTCCACGTCCAGGAAACGATGCCGCAGCTGATTGGGATTTCCGAGTCGTACGTGCTGATTTACGAGCGAAAGGACGCCGCGTAATTCCAAACGCATCCCGATTGTGGCGAGGTCGTGGGATTTTTTTTCCCGCGGCGTGCATTCATGAAAGGCGACGGAATGGACGTCGTGTACCGCGGTCGGCTAGCGTTAGAAGTGTGCATGGACAATCGTTGGACCGTCCATGAGCTACTTTGGATGGTTGCCAAGTAATGACTTGACAGCGTTGACACAGAAAGATGGATCAAAGTTTCAAACAGCGTATCGATCGCGTCGCCGAGTTGCCCAGCGGGTTCTGCTGCTGGCACAGTTTCAGCTCCTTCCACGGTGTCTTTGTCACACAGGCCCATTCACCCACAAGTTTGGCGGACGCCCCAATTTGAGTCTGCCGCAAACTTGAACGTCAACGTAGGCTTCGTTGGCACGTTTGCATCTCGCAAGACTCGAACACCGCGACGATGTGCGCCGCGGTGTATCAACGAGTTGCCCAAAGCCAACCTCGTCCTCTCACAGAAAGTGGTGCGATAACGTCGTCGTGGTTGACCTGTTCAAGGGTATGGCTCGGATGTCCATGTCGAAGGTGCCGTCGTTGTCGCGTCCTGGCTTTGGTTGCCATGCGATGCCATTCCACACGGTTGGAAATCCTTTGGCCTTCGCAGCGTCTCGCAGCGCCAGTGTTGCCACGAACTGGGGTCAATGACGCGAGCGAGTTCTTGACGCCGCTTCTGTCGACGCAGGACCTTCGTGCCGTGCTGGACGCAGAGCTACCAGGCATTCGCTTATTCGCCGCAATCGCTGACGACGCACCCGATGGAACGTGCACCGACCGCCGCGCGTCCGGTGTCGAGGTCTCGACGGGGCTGGCAGGATTATGAAATGATGGGGACGCGCGCATGACGGCTTGAATCGTACGACGGTGGCCTGGCTACGTATGGTCTCGGTACCCAAGAGCCATACATCGTTGGCCCCACAGGTCACAAATGAGCGTCGCCATGAACAGCAGGGAGTCGCAGGCTGGCGCGCTGCTGGGACGTCATGTGGAGCTGTGTTGGGTCGTTTTCGGGACATGCAGCGGCCTCGCCAACGCATACGAGGTAGATAGATCATGGCGAGGATCCACTTCGCACTTGGATGGTGAGAGAGGGCTATCCATCAGTCCATCCGCACATGTCGACTAGTGACCGGGGAAGCACTCAACACAACAAAATTTACTTGCGCACGCAGGGACGATGACAAGTTTCATCGCTGACGAATTATTACACGCAGTACGTCGTTCTTCATAGCCAGGACGCTCTGTGGCCCTTGATGTGCCAACTCACGACGCACGCCGTTTGAGCCTGCACACGACATCCACAAGGCTTGCCGACAAAATGGACAGGCATTTTCACTGCGTTGACCTGCCACCGAACGGTCTGCGGGGTTTGGTCCATTCGCTGCTGCCACAAGTGCCAAGCACTAGTCGCGTTGTTCCTGCGGAATGGCACTCGCAGTGACCTGGCGGAATTCGGTGTACACATTCTTGTGTGCTGCCCGGAGCGAATTGTCGACGCCAACATGGCGGTGCCCTCACAGGTCCAAGATCGGCCACGTATGACATGGTCCGACAGGCTCGACACAGGACCTGGAACTGCATGCCTCCGTTCTGTTGAATAGTATTTCTTGGGTCACGGAAATCAACGCGGAAACAAGTGTACCGCGGTGTGCTACACCTTGGCACCAACCAACGCATTCGCGGTACTTCGTCCATGATGTCCGTGTTCAGCAACAATCGCGGCACCGATGTCTACAGGGAGGCATCTCTCTACTCCAGAGTACCTCTGGTGGGTCCCCTTCCAAGGAGATGGCGCAACTCTCGGTGCCGACAGCATGAGTTCACGTACGTTCGCATTCATGTTGCCAAAGCTGCGCACAAAAACCAAGATTATGATTGCACACACGATCAACGTCTCGCCGTAGTCCAAGCGCTGTGTCTTGCGAAGCAAAGCCAGCCAGCTCAGTCGCCACATCTGAATGCACTCGATGTGAGCACTTTTCCATTCGAACCAAGATGATGGAGCACAGCTCTATCGAAGAACCTTGTTGAGACTGTGGCGACCCATCGCTGCGTTGCCGACTCGCGTCGGGAAGGAGGAGGATCGCATGGAAGGTAGTAAACTGGTCGGCCGTGCAGTTGTGTGGACTACGGTTTAGATTCATTTCATTTAGTTTTGGTATACTTACGAATGTTCATTGGCAATCATTCGACGACAGGTACTAGTAGTACTAAGGACATTCATGCAAATAGTGTGACTATGTGAAATAGTGTGCCTCAGCGTTCTTCCTCCATTAATGATGGCGTCCGCGGCCACGCCGTCACGTGTGGTGCATCGCATTCGAAGCTGCGGATCTGGCGTGGTGTCGACCAGCTTTCTGAGCATCTGTGCCACAACCACGTTTGGTTCGTGCCTCCGGTGGCTGCTCTCGACCCCCGTACCAGATGAAACTGGAGCGTTTGCGAATGCGCTGGAGTGGACGTTGGTTGTCGTCGCGCAGACCCTGCTCGTGGTGTGCAGCCTTGTAGTGGTCTTATACCTGCTTCTTTTCCTGCCCCAGCAAGTCCCATCTCGATCGTCATCGATCCGATTCTCTGTCGCATTGCGCGTGTGCCGCCTGGAGACGATTGCCCTTGTCGCGACGCTTGGCTTGACGTCGTTTGTCTGGAACGCCCTCTTTCGATACTTCGTATCGAAAGAACTCCATTTGTCGACCGATCATGCCACCGTTTTCGTGCAAGCAATTCTTCTCGCGACGTTCGTTGTGTTTGCTCCACACCACCTTCTTGCCCATCGGCCCATTGTGAGCGACCCGGTCGTGTCGCTGCTCTCTAGCATCCCCCTCATTCTCGTCCGCACGGCGCAGTCGTCCGCAGTCGCGACACTCGGTATCCTATATGGTGCTGAGGACCGTGCGCCTTTCGCCTTGGTGACCCTCATTGCGTCGTCGTCGACTTTGTTTTTCGTGTACTTTACGACGGCCAAGGCGTTCTCTTGCTTGTTTTTGCGAACGGCATATAGCTGGGAAGGTGCATCGGTGCCCCCCATTGCATGGCTTGACCTGCAGCACCCAGCAGTGTCCTGCACAGAGTGCACCCAGCAGTTGCCCGCCTCCCCAACCTCTCAAGCCCAACCTCTAACGCCGTCCGTGCTATCGAGCCTACGAACAAATCCATCCGCGACGTACATTTCGTTTCTCGAAGCAAGATCGTCATGCCACAGCGCGCCACGTGGCAGCATTCATCCGCACCTGGTTCCATCGACGCGATCGCTCGAGTTTTGGGACTTGTGGTTTCAAGCAGCAGACTTGCATCTCGCGGCCGCCAGCGGCCAAAGCGCCGCCTTGTTCGCGTCCGAAGACGTTTGGCTGCGCGTGTTCCAGGTGACGACTGCCACGATCGACGGTTTTGCGTGCATGTGGCGCGCTCTCGGGAAGCAGTCGGCGCCGTCATCGTCGTCCAAGGACCGAGTCAACTGGACGAAACTAGGTGCCGTGACGTGGCAAATTGCCACGAGCGTTCAGCCGTCGCCATCGACGTTGCTTCAACTGATCTCGACCTCCCCTGCCGTGCTTGCATTTGTCGCGACGGGCGGCAGCCAAGCCGCGCCGTCGCCGTGGATCTGGCTCGAGAAATGGCTCGCCAACTCGTTATGGCACTTTACGCTGGCCACGATTTTGCTCACTTCCAAGGTATATCCATTTGGCGACGCCATGTCGCCGGTCGTGCCATCGCTGCACGTCGACGGCACCTCAAGATGTGCCCCGGGACTAACCGTGCGCAGACTGTAGTGCATTGCATCGACGCGGTGGCCACCGCTGTGTGCACGTCGTTTGCCAAGGATAAGCAAGGCATTGTGCAGGTACCTGACAAACAGCGAGGGCAAAAGTCGCATCATCTGGCGGACGTTATCGATTGCAATGTGCGACCGCTTCGACGGCTCACGCGTGCGTATGCTTGGCTTAGGTCACACTTCCCGCGATCGTGTACTCGTTGGCGGCGTGCCGCGTCGCGATCGACGGCCACCGCGCCACGCAGTACGAAGAGTACGAAGCGATTGTGTATGGTATGCTGTTTGGTTCCGACTGGCGAACGTGGCGATCGTTGATCGTGTTGTGTAGCCCTGGACTCGGCACTGCAAAAGATCACAGCCGTGTTTGGCCATGCCATGCCAGAATTGACCCAACGGTTCCCGCCTGCCCTCGCGTCGACAGTTCAGAGTTATCTCGCGTGCAAGTAATCGACAATCGAGCGAGTGCCGATCGGCACTTTCGTTTGCAAGCAGTGTGTGACGTGCACGGCATTTTTCGCTTGTTGGACACATACGCTTTCGTGGTGCATCCCGCCACCGTTGAAACGAATCGAGATTGATGGCTTGACGCCGTTCGTGCCCATGGAATGCTCTGCACCAGTGACAGCCCCGATAGCTTTTCCCTGCGCGCGTACGCCATCTCGTGCGATGGATGGAGAGGGGAGTGTGCTAGAGCAAGTTGCAGCCAAGCAGGGTGGGTTCGTTCAAACAAAATCGTCGCCACGACGATTCCGTCAAGACACGATTGTGGGACGAAAGGGGCGTGTGGTACGCTCGTGACTGAATAGGACTCGGAGGGACATTTATCCTGCGTACGTGGCATGGTACCGCTCCAACGTTGTGATGAGGGCTTGGCGCAAATGGTCCATCGATACACTTGCCTACACATTTCGCCGACGGATGTCAAACAAGTCCCACAGGACGTGGTGGACCACGGACCTCATCGTTTGCCAGCGCCAGCACCGCTGCCATGCGGGCAACGGACACTAGTTCCGCCGCGCTCAAGCCTTCCGTGTCTGCTACGAGATCGTCGACGTCGACATGTTCGTCCCACGGCATTTTCGACCGCACGAGGTCCTGCGCATGTTTCGAATCAGGTACATGGCAACATTCCCGCAACGCACCAGGATTTGCCGGCGACCCGCGGCGTCGGGGTGGCCCACATGCACGACGTGCTCAAACCGACCAGGCTGCAAGAATGCGTCGTCGATGGCGTCGACGCAGTTGGTCGCCGCCAGGACAAACACATAATGCTCCGAGGCGTTTTGGTGCCGCAGCGCGCGGAGGGCATCGATTTCCTGGAGCAGCTGCGACGCCATGCGGGACCCCATCTACCACACGTCAATGGCCTTTGTCAAACCTCTACGAAAACGTGTCGAGCACCTGGCCCGCAGACGACCGGGTGGCAAACATGGACTGGAATTCGTCGAAAAACACAATGCATGGACTAGACATGCCGCGTCAAGACACATCGAAATGCGACGACGATGACGGGACCTCATGGCGCGGGCCGTGTCGAAGACGCGGGCCACTGCTTTCTCGCTGTCGCCAAACTCTGACGAGATCAAGTCGGTCGCAGTGACGTTCATGAAGTTGCACATCGTGGCCGCTGCAGCTGCCTTGGCGAGCATCGTTTTTCCCGTGCCTATGCAAGGTATGGCAAACGAATGGGACCGAGTCGTCTCTCGACCCAACGCTCGAGGGCATGCACGGGGTCGGCAGCAAGTGTGACTATGTACATACCTGGAGGGCCAAACAGCAGAAGCCCGATGGGCGGAGTAATCCCCATCCGATCAAACACCTACGACGGTGGCACAGTCCATCGTTGCAGCCCGCGACATATCGAGCATCACCTCGGGTTTCTCGAATGGCCATACGACCATTTCTTGCAGGGTCTGCTTGACGGCGTCGGCGCCTCCAATGTCTCGCCACGACACATTCGGTAACGTCACGGCGGACGCTGTGGTGGAGGATGATGGCGACTTGGCCGGGTCCGCACGAAATGACGTGACCAAGTCAACCGGTGATAACGTGGCATGCCAAGTGCCTGTCTCCGCCACGGCGTTTGCAATGGCGCGCCGCACATACGACACGATGTCGCCAGGCTGTTGACCATGCTGCATCAAGATCGCGTTCACCGACGCGATGGCGCTGGCATCTGGATACGGCGGGAACAACGACCGGAGTAAGCGCTGGCGGAATGGAAGCGCCGTGAGCTATACAACAAGGTTCCGCAAGTTCAATCGTTGGCTCGGAGGATGGGCTGGCAAACCTCCATGTCAATTTCGTCCTGAAAGCACTGCCGCACGCGAGGGACCAGCCTGGCCGTGTCCACAACGGTGGCCACCACCGCCACACGCGCGTGCTCGAGCTCTACGGCAGCGAATAAATAATGTGGGTGGCGGATGTGAATTCCACGATCCATTGCCTCGTGGCTGGAACAGGAATTTTTTCGACGTACGCAGTGTATTGAGCGCGTTGCAAAAATCGGCGATGCGGGTGGCCGCGGGACCGTCCAGCGTTTTGGGAAAGAGGCGCTCGATGTGCTTAATGCACACGACCGCCGGCTGCATGTGGAGAGCAGCCGTGAAGCACGCTAGGAACGGACGCTCCAGCGACGATACCATGGGCGTCTGCAGCGCGAGGACGGTCGCGTCCAGCTCGAGCAGCGTCGCGTTGTGTATGTGGGCAAGGTGGTGGACGGCGCTAGTTTTCCCAGAGCCCATGGGGCCATGCATTAAGATACGGCACAAACCTGGCAGGTATGTGAGGCATTGGAGGTGGAGAGCTTCGATAGATTTACTGGATTCGGGGTGTGTGAGGGCCTGAGTGGCAAAGTCCACGAGGGCAGTGGCTGAGGCGTTGGCCACATAGGATGGTGAATTTGAAGCTGGAGGCACGAGGCGGAAGCTTGAGTTGGCCGGGTGGGACACAGTCAGTTGAGTCTGCCTTCCAACCACCCCGACCTTGCGATGTCGAATGAATTCGCCGACAACCGCGGGTGCGGCACGACTGTGATCTTCTTTGCAGCTCTGAGACAATACTGAGCCTCCCAGAAAACAGCGCCAAGTGCCGTAGTCTATGCCGTGCCAAACACAGTGCCACGTCATGTTGTGCTCAAAGATTCCTCCGACAAGCATGGGCAAAAGTGGAAGCGACGGCAATGACTGGTGGTGGCCGCTGGGCAAACACGTCGGCGGCTTTACCCACTCCAAATGAATGTACTCGACCGTGGGCACCACGTGATTCGGAATGGGATGAAGTGTTATGTGCAATGGAATGCCCTTTTCCTGCTGTGGATGCGAGCCATATACTGTCGGCAGGCCATTCTTGTCAACAGTTTGTAGAGGTTGCGATGACGTCGATGGAAGTAGGCGAGTCCGGCGCAACCACACCTTCTCACATGGACCGACGCGTCCAACCAAGGCGACATAAGTGCCAGGAAGCAAACGACCTAGTGTTCAAGACACACCATGAATCGATCACGCACATGACTCGTCGCACCTCGCTGCATGACTTCTGCTGAGAGACCAATGTCTCCAGAAAGCAGTATGGATGTAGCACGCTTGCGCGCCGCTGCAGTCTTTGGCGGCACTTCCACGGCTTCAAATGTGACCTCCATCACACCGACGCTGTCGCCGCGACCGGCTTTGGTTTGCAATGCACCAATCAAGGTCGCTATCCTTTCTAAAATTGTTCATTGAAAACATTCATTTATACAGTTTACCAGGGATTTTCCATGTATTTTTCACCGATTTATGAAAACCTACAAAATATGCCATTTAAAAATAATGCAAATTCCCTAAAACAAACCTTGTTTATTTATGAATCAAACGTTGTCGACTCAACCGGCCCGAAGGCGAATACTGGTCCATGGCCCCGAACGAGCTGCCACATTACGCTGTGGACGGGGAGTAAATGCCTTCCATTTCACGAGGGGAGTACAGCTCGCATGCGAGGCGGTGCTGCGCGAGTTCAAGGAACATGCGCACGGACAAGGGCAAAATCGCGTCGTTGAAGTCGAACGTGCTGCTATGCAACGTGCGATTCTGTTCTGTCGTGCCGTCTTCGCTGGGTTTCTGGACGGTGCCGATGAAGAAGAACGCACCAGGGCGTTGCTGGAGGTAGAACGAAAAGTCCTCCGACGCACACAAGGGCAGCCCGTATGTGGTGACGTTCGCTGCACCAGCCTAGCCACCACAATGTCGTTGACAACATGATGCGAGTAAACACGGCATACCACAGATAGCGCCACTTCGCGCACAATCTCCGCTTGAGCTGCTGCATTCACGGTGGCAGGGTATCGCTCGTCAAATCGAATCGTGCCTTCCACACCGTACGCCGCCGCCGTGTGAGTCACAATCGCAGTCATGCGCGCTTTGATCACGTCAGCGACAGCAGGGGAGAAATCCCGCGCCGTGCCGGACATGACTACCGAGGACGGAATCACGTTGTCGGCTTCGCCGCCGTGAACCTGCGCAATCGACACAATTGCGCTGTCGTGGGCTGAAATGTTGCGACTTGCGATCGTCTGTATGGCAACAATAACGTGGCCAGCCGCGACGATCGGGTCCTACTACCCATCCATCAAAACTGCCTGACAATCGACTGCGAAAATTGCAAAAAATCACAACAAACGAGGCAGAAATTGCTGGAGCAGTTCGTACGTTGGTCTGATGAGGAGCTGACCCGTGGCCTCCCAGTCCTTTGAGCGTGATGTGGAACGTGAGGCCGTGGGACATTACGGCGCCCGCCTTCACGGCCACAACGTTCTCGGGGAAATTCACGTTGTGGTACCCATACACCTCATCAACACCGTCGAGGCATCCCTCTTTGATCATGGCCACCGCGCCTAATCCAGGGCATGTCGCGGTCAGAAAGCTGATCCTGACAAAAAGGGTCCATACCAAAGTGGCCTTCCTCCGCGGGCTGGAACAGAAGGCGGACGCACGTGTTGGGAGGAAGGTAGTTGCGACGATGCTGCAACAGGTAAGCAAACCCAGCCAACGACGTCATGTGCCCATCATGGCCACACATGTGTGCAGCGCCAGCTTGTTTCGACTTGTAGGCCAGCGATGGGTTCTCTTCGGTCATGGGCAAAGCGTCCATGTCCCCGCGGAATGCGACGCAGGTAACCGAGCGGATCGACGCTACCGACGCATCGACGGGCCCAAACACGTTGACGACAAGCCCTAACAAGACGTCATCGCGACGCCAGACGGCGAGGAACGACGGCATTACCTGTGCCACCACACGCGTGAACGTCAGTCTCGGGGATGCCAGCCTCGTCGACAAGGAACCGACGCAGCGTTTGCTGCGTGATCACTTCTTGGAAACTCAGCTCGGGATGCGAATGAAAGTGGTGGCGCAGCGACACGAGCCGGTCAAAGAAAGTGCTGTAGTCGGCCGTTGATGGGGTAGATGCGGCTGCCATGCGCGAGAGGTTGGTCGGTGCTCTTTTCGCAATGATGCCTTGCCGCTTCAAACCGATTGCACCACGGTCAGGCGCAGCGACAGTTGCGCCACGACGATGTTTCTGCCCATGTGGTGTAATTGTAATAAAAAAAATCGTTTTAAATTACTATAGTCAACGCGGAGAGATACTTTAAATTGTAAAAAATGACACAAAGTCGACTCGGCATTGGATAAATCCAACATGGAATTGCTGCAAAATACGGTCAACACTGTCCCAAGCGTGGGTTGAAGCTCACCCATCTGGCGGGCATAGCATGCAGAGATGTGTTGGAGGACCGGCCTGCTCATGGTAGTGTGCGTGAAATGCCGTAGGAGACACTGACAGCCCTTCCAGGGGCATTGCTACGAGAACTTGGCATTGTGGAAGTATTTATCTGGTCGTTATATATGTTGAATAATACTAATGGCGTGTAAAATCCGATTTGCACTTCAATTCGGATAAGGGATTGAGAATGGTACAATATCCGGACTTCGCCGAAGATTCAATTGAACCGTGGCGATGTCGTCGACTGCGCTGCTTGGAAGCCTGGCACTCGCTGTGCTGACTGGCGTGTACATCTTCCTGAGTAGCGCGCCCGAGGTGGATATCCCTGCATGTAGGGGCATGTCCGTCTCGTTCATGATCCAAGGCGTGTTGCCTAAATTCCTTGGAGGACGCGACGACAAACTCGGCACAGTCACGTCACTATGGAAGTGCGCGAGTCTGTATCAAGAACAACACTCAAGTTTTGTCGTTGCGAGCTTCGCCCTCGTGTACGTGTCTCTGCAGACATTTGCCATCCCCGGTCCCCTCATCCTCAGCATCCTCTCGGGTGCGTTGTATCCATTCGTTCATGCAAACTTGCTCGTTGCTGTGTGCGCGACCACCGGCGCGTCTCTGTGCTTCCTGCTGTCGCATTACTTGGGCCGCAACCTCGCACAACGCCTTCTTCCCGACATGTTAGCTTCGTTCAAGACCAAGGTATGCTCGATGCGATATTTGCAGAATTACCAATCATCCCTGTGGGGGCTGGTAGATAGCAGCCAACCGGTCGAATTTGTTCTACTACATGCTCTTTCTTCGCCTCACGCCGCTGCTTCCGAACTGGTTTGTGAACGTCGCGTCTCCTCTCGTCGGCGTTCCCTTTGGTGTATTCGTCGGCGCGACCTTCATCGGTGCGTTTCAACGTCTTCTGAGTAGTCCTCAAGGACGATGCATGCGCATAGGGCTCATTCCGGCCAACTGCATCCACATTTCGACCGGAGCGACGCTGGGCAGCACTGCCGCTGACGCCGGGAGCGGCAACAACTTGATCAACTTTGGCATCTTGTTTGCGCTGCAATTCCTCGCGCTTTTACCGACGTTGTTCAAGAGTAAGCTGCAAGCTCTGGATGGTGGAGCAACTCCCGCAGCGACCAAGAAGGCCATTTGAATGTCCATTTCGCTGGCGTACTCGCTAAACAATCGCAGACTGTCGTTCCTGAACGCAACCTCAGACGCGTCTCCGCCATCTTCCAACAATCTTCTTGTTAGTACGACGGGATGTGGCGAGCCGTCTCGTATTCGTGGCATAAAATGGAGACCACGATTGGTTTTACGAGCTAGAACAGCGTCCACACTTCAGCCCGGTGGTGGCAGGCATCTGAGGACGAGTTGCAACGTCTTGCGGACAAGATGCGGCACTGGCGGGCAGCGACGCAATCGATCGAGGCGTTTGTCCATCTCGACGGCGCCAAGTTGCAACTCGATCGGAAACACGTGCGAAAGAACACTCCATTAGTCGGTGATGTTTGCCACCACAAAATGAATGGCGTCGCGGGGCTGCCGCGAGCGCGACGTGCCCGTCGTGGGTTGCCGGGCAATTCTGCCCATGGCGTCGCCGGCCCGTTGATGGATGAGCTGTCGATGGATCGGCGGTGCATGGCCCGGCTCCATTTCCCTACACACACGCGCGCGCGCGTTGCAAGGCCGCCTCCATGGACCTTGCCTTACCGTGCGATGTACTGCTGGAACTGCTGGGTCTCAAAAAAGTGGGAGCAAAACTCGCGCGTCGAGCCAAAGTCCCGCAGATACCCCTTGGAGTCAAACTGGATTTGGTGCGCCGGGCTCGCGCGGCAGTACTTTTTGCAGTCGCGCACAAGCCTACGAGAACGTCCTTCGATGCAGACAGGCAAGCGCATGGCACGTACGACCGAAAGAAGCCGGTCACGAGCTCCTGCAGTCCCGACCACACATCGTCCATGTGCGCTGCCACGTCGCACTGCTCGTGCCGCCATGCCACGTCATCGGTGGCCACTGGGCAATCCTCGACGAGTCCATACAGTCGATCGGTGTCGTCGACGTGGCGCGTTTCATCCCGAACGGCGATTGCCGCACGTTCGCAGAGCGCACCGAGCGCCTTGACAAGCTTTTTCTTGGGGCGGTCGGGGACGCTACGGCATGTCATGATGACATCTCGACAACGGACGGTGCGCACCGAGGAAGGGGGCATTGGGGGGGCGCCGAGATCGTGTTGGTGTCGAGGTTGACAAAGATCACGTCGTCCAGGGTGTCGCGCTGGGCCTGCTGGAGCTGGTGGGCAGACACCCCGACGACGAACGGCACGGGGGAGCAGAGAAAGTCACTCAAGTGCTACGAGGTCGAATGGTGAAGAAGGCTTGCCAATGAAAGCGGACTCGATGGACCTCGGGGACGACTGGGATGTAAACGACCTGGCTCACAAAATATGGATGGACGAGCGCGCGCAGGGTCTCGAGGACCGGCGTCAGCATGGCGACGCATGTGGCCGCGACAGCCACCTTCTTTTCGCACACGACGAGCGCTAGCACCTGCGCCGCGTGGGTGCGAGCTCCATCTCGACATCGTACCTCGACAATGTGGTCGAGACTGAGCCGTTGAAACACAAGCGCAAAGTCGACGTCGTGGGGCGAAAACGGTTGCGGATGGTGCACCAAAAACGTGTGGCTGTGGATCGTGCACACGGTTTTGGCCGCGCTGGACGTGGGCATCGGGACTTGAAGAAACGCGGCGATCACTTTCGACTCGAGGTGCTGCGAACGGTACACTTGGCGGAGCGCGTGATGCAACGTCTTGTAGGCCGGGCGGCGCGATAGAAAGCACAGGCACTTGGGAACAAAGTACGTCGTGCCGGTGTCTAGCCACGATGGGGCTACCGTCGCGTCGCCGCCACGGAGGTCGGCCACAACGAGGCTGTGGAGTGCACATGCCGCCGTTGGATGCGCAAATTGCAAGGTCGACGCGTACACTGGAGTGCCGTTGATGTCTACAAGAGCCAGGAAACACATGTCGTCCGCGACGCACGCACCGGTGAGGACAGTGTCGAACCACCGCGGCGGCGGCGCGGCCGTCAGGACGGTCGTCGGCGCTGGATACAAAAACGTCGCGATCGCGTCTGGCACGCAAAACGACGTCACGGTCGGGTGGTACAGTGTGTCTGTAACTTGGACGACGACGCGGACGTCGGTGGCGGCGGTCGACGCGTCGAGTTGCGACTGCGTCATGGGCAAGACGACGCCGCTAAGCACGACAAAGCAGTCGGCGATCGCGTCGGTCGAGTGGTCCAGCGGTGGAAACCGGGACAATGGCCGGCGGCGGTGAAAAGTTGTCGTCGGACGGGGTTGTCGAACGGCGGCGGGCGGCGGTCGTACTTGGTGCTGTCGGATCGCGCTAAAGCACTGCGAAGGGGCGCGTGGTAGGGCGTCGTCGAGGTCGCGGGTCAAGGCCCGGAACGCCACGTCGAACTCGGTCGGATCTGGCCATCTCAAGCAACCGTGAACACCGTAGCATCGTACCTGTGGTCGCCAAGTGGATCAAGTACTGGGCGAGCCCTGCTTGGGTGAGGTGTCCTTCGGCCGTGCACTCGAACGTAGCTTGGAGCCACTCGATCGTGGACTGCGCGACCGGCGGCAGTGCGCATTGCGCATTCACGCGATTCAAATCGGACGGCGAGAGGCCGCGCCGTGTCGTTGAAACTCGTGTAAACACGACCGCGACAACGTACGCATAGAATGGCGTGATCTTGAATGGTGTCGACGGGCCCAAAAATTCGTGCCGCACAAACAGGACCGCGCGGATGTGGCGTTCCAGCGCGCGCGAGTCGTCCGTGGCAATCTCCAGCGACGCCAGGCGGTCGAGAGCGTCATGGAATACGTCCTTGGCCGCCGCACATCCTAGTGGGGTGGGGTGTACGTCAGCCCAAAGCGGTTCACGACGACGGCATTTGTCGACCTGATGGCAAGTGCAAAGCCAACTGCACCTGCGCGACGACGCAGTTGACGACGTTTGCGTCGGTCGGATGAATCGCGATCGCGATGACGTATCGCCGCCACGCGGCGTTGTAAAACTCGGCGGCCGACGCAGTCGGGTCGATACTCCACAATTCAATCGTGTGCGTCGTCGATGCATGACCGACCGGAGTAGTGGGCGACGATAGGCCTGGAGAAAAGTCGAGGCGCGTGTCCGGTGCGTGGCGGGTTTGGTGCGATGCAAAGTCTCCGTGGAGGTGGAGGCAGCGCGCCCACTGTAGCACGCACGTCAAGATCGTCAAGTCGCGTACCGACGCACGTTTGTGGTCGTGCGTTGCAATGCACAAACTCGCCCAGTACGCGTGAAACGTGACGCTGCCGATGCGCACAGCTTCGACTGCCAGCTCCAATCTGTGCCACCACCATCATGAGCCACGAACGAATTGGAGCATGATACAGCATGGGGACTATACATGTCGGCGGCGTCGCGATGGACCCACAATTGCTGGGCAAATGCAGTCAATGTGGTGGCATACCGCAGCAGAAATGGACGGTGGTCGTCGCCCGACGAGATTTCGGTGGCCACAAAGCGCTCGTACGTGTCGACGGCGGCTGCCCATTGCGTTGCGATAAACTCAATGTCGACTTGGCCGTGCATGTCTGTGACTTCGACAACGATTGCATCGAGGAGATCGTCCGCCCCATCCAGCGGATGCTGCGGCGCCCGAGGCTGGTGGGGCACGATGGGATGGACGTCGAGATCGGGTGTCGAAGCCCCAAACGGCGACGGTGGTGGCATGCTCGGTGGTGGCTGCTGCCGTCGACGGAGGGGTGTTGTGGTGGTGACGAGCTCACGACAACGTGCCACGTAATCGATCCCGCCGTCGGCTTGGAACAGCGTAACGAACGTCCGATGCAACGAAGCAGCAGCTTGACGGAACGAATGCGCCGAAGATGCTGGTAGTCTGCAGCAGATCACGTCAATGTCGACGGGCTGCAGTGCTTGGGTGATTGCTTGAAGGACAATCTTGGTGCACGTGGCTGCGTATTCGTGGCCGAGAGCATGGTGTTGGACCACGTGGTCGTGCAGAGCAGCATCGACATGCGGCGCGAGGCCGAGGAAACGTGGGACTCCACACATCCCAACGTGAACGAGACCACGCATGAGACGATGGATCGGGACGTGCACGTGGTGAAAGGGCTTGATTCGCTCGCCTGCGTCGTGCACCATGTCGGCGCGAAATTCGTGGACAAAGATAGCCGCCAGTTGCTGACTGGTGACATGCGTTGTGGTTTTCAGCCGCACGGCAGCGACGAACGCGCGAAACTCGGCGAACGAGAGTCGATTCGGAGGCGCGCCAGGGGCTCGGAATGCAGCCATGAGCGCATGCAGTGACTTGGAAAACGGTACCAACGTCGTCGTCGCGCTGGTTGTTGCGAACGAGTCCAAGAATTCAAGCCGTTGAAAGGTGTTGCGAAGCGAAGAGGTCGACGAGGCCGTGGCTTCCAGGACGATCGAGTGCAGCGATGGAAGGTCGAGGGTGGATTCGGTCCCAGACGCTGTCGTCGTGAAGAGATGGGCCAGCGCAAGCAAACACTCGGGATACGTGAGACCCAATGAACACGTGGCATGACCCTTGAATGCCAGCATCTTTTGAGTGTCCCAAGCAAGAGACGAACCACCCGACGACGACGGCAGCATGGCATATTTCGTCAACCCTTTGAATTGCTGCCAATTGATGCGCCACCCGCGTCCCCACGGGTTCTGCAGAGCGTGGACGAGGAAGATTTGGAGCACTTGGTCGGCCGGGGACAATGAAGACGGCAAAGGCGATCGTTGCGGGGTGGAAGTACTTTGTGCGTTCAAAGAACACAGCAGCTCGTCCTTGGTGGTCGAGATACCAGGGTACGGAAGGGTTTGAAAATGGGCGTATTCCTGCGTCAGCTCTGGGGGTACCTGGTCGAGGCGACCGCAGGTCCATTCGGAGTTGTTGGCCGAGTTCCATGATCCCTTGGTGTCGTGCATCACGCAGCCCTCGACGTTCTGTCGCGCCGCCCATGCTTGATACTCGTGGCGCCTCCTTTTTTCCGTGGGGTCGAGTCCAACGGCGACGCGTTGCATGTCATTCATGTGGTTGAATCGTGGATTCCTCGATCTTCAACGGGTGCAACCGTTACATATATCCGGTTACAGACCCAGTTACTCGCCCGTGGCGGTTGGCGTCCATCGAACAATATATTTGGTAGTGTGACGGATTGGCGATGGCGCAGCGCCGAAGCGGCAAGCTTGTGTGGCTTGCGTTGGCCACACACATGGCGCAAGCCACATCGTCGGCCCCGACCGATCTCGTCGCAAACTCACCCCCTGCAGCTCCCATCGACACCAATGCCATATTGGTCGAGTTGGCCGAAACAGACCGCATGATTGCGCTGCTCGAACGAAAGCTCACGAGTTTGCGAGATTTGCGGCGATTGTCCCTTGGCGGAACTCTCAATCCGTCTTCCGCGACGGCAGACACAGAGGACGTCCTCAACCAGGACTTGGAAGCGGTCTTGGCACAGTCAATGCCGTCGTTTTCCACGTGTGACGCACCACCTCTTCCGTCGTCTGACAGTGCGGCACACTCCCCGCCTGATGTGTTCCACCGATGGTTTGTAGAACGGCACGCCGGAGAGCTGAATGTGGTAGCAATCCAGCCCTTCCACCTTGCTCATCCTCGGTTCGTTCACCCTCTGTCGCTGCTGTTTACTGCTGCCGCCAACGGCACGCTGAGCTTTTACGAGTTGCCCGCAGGGACGTTGGTCAAGGCGGTGCAGCTTCCCCCACGGTCGCCGCCCCACACAAGCGAGAGTCAAGTGGTTGCTGCGTCGTTTACACTCGCTCCCACCCCTCACGTGTCGGTGGTGCATTCGTCAGGCCATCGAGTGCTTCAAAAAGTCAACGTGACCTTTGACTGGGCAAGCGCCACTCCATCGACTTCGTTGGACGTGCCGGCAATTTCTGTAGTGGACGCAACACCACCAGCGACGGCACCACTCCATGTGACTGACTCGCAACGCACGGTTGTCGCTGCGGCCTCCACGGCATTTCACGACCAACCGCTGCATTTTGTCGTTGTGACGGAAGACTCGAGCGCCGACGACCCCATGGCGAAGTCAGAGTCTGATGGGCAGCCGCCACCCATGCAGAATACCGTCCACGTCCTCGACGACGCTGGCATCGTGCTGCACACTCTGACCGCGCTCGACGCTCGTGTTCCCGTCCGGTCGATGTCGCCACACCGCCACCTCTTGGCCATCACGCAAGCCACGTCTGTCCATTTGTTTCCATTATCACGGCTTGGAGAGCAAGTGCATTACGTTTGCGAAGGGAGTCGGTCTCCGGTCGTGGCGCTCGCGTTCGACACGGCTAGCCCAAGCATCATGTACGCCACCGTCGCGTCTGGAGACGTCCTCGTGTTTGACATGTACGTCGATCGCACGCGGACTTGCCGCCTCCTTCATCGGCTCCCCCCTGCAGCGGCGGCTTCTTCGCGAGCTTCGGCCATTTTGGCGCTGCCAGGCTACATTCTGGTGGCGTCGCAGTCGATGTTGGCGCTGTGGAACGTAACCAACGTCGCGACGGATCGACCGCGGTTCGTCACGGGCGCGACACACACGTATGGACCACACGACTCGACGCAAGGCGTCGGATCTAGCCATCCCGTCCGTGTTGCTCTGCTGCCCCGCCTGGACCTGGAGGACCAAGCCAGCGCAGGGGCGCGCGACCTTGCCGTGGTTGCCAACGTTGGACACTCGACCGTGTTTGTGCTGGAAAGCTTCCTCCCCGTGCCGTCTCCTGCGGCGCCGACAAGTTTGGGGAGCATGGATCTGTCGTGGCTGCGTTTGCCTCTCCTCGTACTTGTGGCTGTGGTCGTTGCGATCTACAAAACATCGACCAAGTCGTCGTCCATGTCAAGCCCCGATGGCTCCTCGCCAGCGTCGGCGGAAGAGCTCGAGCGCATGCTCCGTCAAGCGCGAAATGCCCCCCGAGATACATCCTCGACTGGCACGTCGCGGGGAGGTCGTGATCCGACATTCGACCCCACCCCGCTCTCGTACACCGACTACAACAGCCGACAGGCGACGTCCTTTGACCCCCCGAGACCCACCACGTCCAGGCCTTCGTATTACGACGCTACCACGATTTGATGGATGCGATGAAGCCGCCGCGGCATGCCCTCGACGATTCGCCCGCTCGAACGAGCCTTTTCACTTGACGTGGATCGATTTCTAGCTGTCTCAAACTTAATGCAGGGTTCCACTCTCATGTGCATGCCCCCCCGCCGTGGCGCCATGGCTGTGGCCAATGAATCGGCAATTGCGTCGGGAGACGGATGCAAGTTTAGCATGGCGGTGCGCTACGAGACTAAAACTGCAGGTGCTTCAACGAGGTTTGACATGAGGAGCCTCGCGAAATATTCCACGAAGCGCATGGTTTATAGGTCTTGTTCGATCAGTATCGCCAAGTCGTCTGGAAGGCGGCAGTAGACTGTGTTGTTGGCCTCGAGCTGGGCAAGACAGCGATCGAGGTTGACATGCACATGATCGAGCAATTGGTTGGGGTGTGCCTCGAGGAGCTCGGCAATTGCGTCGTAGGAGTGGCCTGCGGTCGCCGACGGAACGTGCTTCTTGAGCCATGTGTAGGTTCGCTCAAACAACCGCGCGTCTTCTCTCGCCATGTTCACGTGATCTTGGATGAGCGCCAAGAGCTCGGATCGCGAGATGCCGTGGGGGGTCGACACAGCGTACACGTTGAATAGATCTGTCCACGACGTCAGCACGAATTTCTGCACCGTGGAGGGGACGCCTACATTGAAAGTGCTGGCGAGAAGTGCCGTGTCGAAGCAGTGTCTCGACGCTTCCGTAGTACTCTTTAAAGGTCGGGACTGCCGACGGCGTCCACGCCGAGGAATCGGACCTATCTCGGTCGATCAGGAACACCTCGATCGGAGACAGCATCTGCTCAGCGACGGATGTACGTGTGGCGAATGAGGTCTCCTTGGTGGCGCAGTCGGTGAAAGCGCTGCTTGAGTGCCGCACGCAGCCGAAGATTCGCGTCTTCCGGCAACTTCAGCGCCATGGTGCCGTTACAAATTGTAACGGTTGGCCATTCGTTCGATGAAGGCGATGACAACGGCGGTGCGCTGTCGCGACGGGTGCGGCGACTTTGGGATCGAGGAGCTCGAGTATGTGTGCGTCGATTGCGATACGAGGCGGCGACTTCATCAAGTCAATGCATCGCCGCCGACACTTCCCGAACGAACACGGCCTGCCGCTCGTCCGCAAGGCAAAGAAGGTAAATTGCCGTCATGGTACATGCACGAGGCGAGCTAGCATGTCGTCCTGTAGCATGGCGCGCGTTCCAAGCTCTAGGAAGAGAACAGGACGCGACGGCTATGGCGTCAGAGGTGCGGGCCTTCGAAGAGAGTGTTGCGGCCAAGCGGCAGGTGTCGACGGCGCTCAAGCATTACATGCTCGCCACTAACAACATGGAAGAAGTCGATAAAGCCGTGTGGATTCAGCACTCGTCATCGCAATGCACGTCGCTGCCGTATGTGGATTAAAGGATCGACGTTGCAGAGCCACTTTCACCTGATGTATACAGTCGAAGCAGAACTCGCCACCGCCCTTGTCGAGGGTGACGAGGCGAGGACGAACAGAAGCAACACAAGTTGCAACGAATTAACTTGGCCGTTCTTTCAATGTCTTCAGAAACTATGTTAACAGCAGCTGCTGCCACTCTTCGTCGACTTGGACGCGGCGCCGCTCAAGTCGATCGTCGCGGCAGGCACAAAGCTACACGTTGTCGTGAGGCACACCAAGCTAACGAAGTCTCAAGTCTGTACATGTTTTCTTCTTGGCCTTTTTGAAGCGCGATCTTAGCAATGGTTTGGAACGCATCCTCGACACTTGTCGCTTCCTTGGCACTTGTTTCAAAAAACGTGATGGGCTATCGAATTCAACACACGAGCAAGGCATGAGCTGGGGTAATCCATCAGAAGTTATCGCACCTGGTCAGTGTTCTTGGACTTGCACCATTGTTGCGCCTTTTGAGTCGAAACCTACGCGAGGTCGTTGAACACGACTAGTCCAATCGATATGCGCAGTGGCGTACCCTTCGATCCGATTCTTGATCCACCTTGTTGCCAAGCACGATGAACGGGAACGATCCAGGTTCGCGAGGTCCAGCTTGCGCGAGAAATTCGTCACGCCAGCTGTCGAGTTTGTCGAACGACGCAGGGTTCGTAATGTCGTACACCAACACACATGCATCGGCGCCTCGATAGAACGCCACCCCAAGGCTTTGAAATCGTTCTTGTCCTGCTGTGTCCCAAATCTGCATCGTCACGAGTTTCTCATCGCTCATGATCTCCTTCGTCAAAAAGTCGGCGCCAATTGTGGCCTTGTACTGGTTCGTGAACTTTTGGTTCACATATTGATTCATCAGCGACGTCTTGCCAACACTACACCAGGTCCCCCCCATTATCACATCGTCCTCCTCTCCAACATCAATCGAGCATACCCGCTGTCGCCGAGGATGATCACCTTGAGCAGTACCTTCTTCCGATGCGCCATGACGAGGTCGTTGGGCTTTATCACACAAAAAATGGGGAATGGCAAAAGAACAGCAGCAAGAGATCTTCGAATTTGTCGGACATACAAAAATCAAGATAATGTTGACCCTTGGACCTGATTGGGTACTCAAATACCTGTATAATCGGATAAACCTGTTTCATTTTATACAGCTGTCCTGGTGATTTTAGCGCATTTTCGGACTTCATGCGATTTCGATTGCACTTGGCCATCGACGACGAAGTCGTCGGGAACATCAACATGGATTGCCGCGCGGCAGAAAAGAAGATTGTGTTCCGCATGCAGAACCGTGCGTTGGTGCTTTTGGAAACGCACATCACAGCCATTATGCGGCCGCCGCCGTCGGCTTCGTTGACATGTGATGATACTCAGTTGTTCGTTGTCCATTGTATCTTTGATGATTCATAAATCGATTGTGTGCCTAGCACCATTGCCACTACGTTGTCGCATTCCACGCGCCCTTACTTTCGATGCAGCCAAGTGACGCAGGCGAACGTCCTGTCGTTGACATTGCAGACCATGTTTCCCACGATTCCATGGCTCACCGACGACCGCGCCACTGGCGGACCCAGGCTTCTTCGAAAGCGCCCTCGACGGGAATCGACTCGCGAGTCCTTCTACGGGTCTTCGTCGTCCTTAGCACCGTCGTTCCCCATGGTGAATGCGGCCTTCGACGCAGCATTCCATTATCGTGTCCAGCACTCGATCGAGTGCCAGCTCGATGGCACTGCGCCGGTCCATCATGTGTTTGCGCTACAACAGCCTGCAATTGACTTTATCGGGCAGATCCAGGCTCGTCGGCCCACTCATGTACGTTCAAGCGCCATGGTGTGCACTTCTCCAACGACATGCTGTGGTAGTTCATCAAGCTGTTTTCATTTGAGACCCGTGGAAGCCGCAAGTTCCTCGTGTCGGATATCGATGTATTCTTCGACAAGTACATGCAAACGCCGCCAACCCAACGCCACGTGTACGAGATCATCCAGGCTGACATGCCGTGCCACTTGTACTTCGATCTGGGTAAGGTTCTATCCCTTCGTCACGTTGTTCCTCGCGTTCCAATACATGTGTATATTTTCCTTTAGAGTTCAAGCCGGCGTTCAACCCACACGTGAACGGTGACGTCCTCGTGCGACAGCTCAAGCACTTGGTCGCACTCCAATTTTACGTAAGCTTCTCGTTCCATTCCATCGCGTGGTATGACGTGCTGGTGGGCCACCGACCGCACCGTCGTCTCTGGGCTGCCTGGTGTTTTGCGCGTTTGAAATGAACCAAATCTAACCGCGCCTTGATAGCGCAAGTTTGGGATTCATGTATCGGCGGATAAAAATATGGTGGATTTGGTGTCGACTGCCCCGGACAAGTTTAGCCGCCACCTCGTTGTCATCGCACCGGATGGCGCGCTCTTCGTCAACAACTTGGAAGCTGGCCAGGTACATGTCGAAAACTTATCAAAGGCAGAGTGTTGTTGCTTGTTGGCTTTCTTCGTGCTGGCTTCAGGTCATTGATGGTTCGCACGTTTTGCTGCAATTCCGACAGCGTCACAATATGCATCGTTGCTTGGACAGTTTGTCAAGGAGCTCATGGACACGTTTGCGCTGCATGCGGATGACAGCGGGGATTTGTCTTTCAACGTGATGGACCAGCACAACCAACCACAGTCGTTTATCGATATGGGTGTCTACACTCGGTATCCCATCCCATCCTCTCCGAACGCCTCATCGAGAGTCGCAGGAATCGAGCGTTTCGGTGTGTGTGGTCGTCCAAGTTTCAGTCGGACCGCATTCTCACGAGACATCCAGAGTGCCGCTTACACTTGGACAATGACAAGGCATTTTTCCTCCACACGTTGATCTGTCCTGTGGGGGCTCCTACCGGTCGTCGCCGACTTCTCCGGTGTCCGCAGTTGCTTGCCCGCCACGGCACCTCGACGAGACCAACCACGTACCATGTGCAATCTGTTCTAGGCAAGCACGCGGCCCCGATCCCCCCGCTCGCCGCGTTCGTTGTAGCCCTTGCGACGGCGCAAGACAACGTCCAAGCCGGGATTCGTGCGTGGCAAGTCATTCCACATCGGTCCATCACGTACCACCTCGTGAACAATCGGTACTGCCATAACGTCAGGAGAGCCCACAAGAGCAACAACGTCATGTACGTGGTCGATCACGATCGAATCGTGCAAAAGTGCCACGATCCCAACTGCGCCACCTTTACGTCGCGTTCATGGCCACTTCCAGCAGAGCTCAGGACGGCGATTGCCTCGTTTTTAGCCTGCGAGAAACACGTCCCAACGTATGACCAGTAAAGTTGAGACGACGGAATGGAGTGATAGCTTGGGGACGAGGGTTGAAAACGCCGACGAACGAAAGGACCAGTTGTATATTGCATCAAGGCAAAGAGCTTGGACTCGTCAGGCCCCAACGGTCTCGTGGAAGGAATCGCCGAGCGCAATGATGTTGGTCGTGTCCAAGACGTCGCCATGGACAGGTGCGATGGCGCTCAAGACTGCGGCCTTGGCGAGGGCACCCACCGGACACACTGCCAGGAGTTCGGGGCCGAGCAGAGGTACACGCGACAACATCGAAGACACCGGGCCCAACTACAGATCGAGTTCAAATCCAGTTGAACAAAACCAGAGGACGTACTCCACGACCAGCTAACGCCAAAGGGGCGCCCAAAAGGCCAAGCGGCAAGAACAAATCCGTGTTGTTCACGTGCACTCGACGGGTACCATAGACAAATCCAGGACGGAGGGACACACCCGTGTCGGGGAAGCTGCCAGATTGACGTCAGATTGTCCAATTCGCGGAGGATGGCGGTGTTGTACGTACTGGGCGCGAACCGCCGCTTCGGCGCGTTCTTTGCCATTAAAATAGCCGTACAAAGGCGCCCATTTGGGAATGTTGCTTCCGACTCGGGATTCCGAGATGAACACAAAACGTTCTGTCCCTGGATACGGCCATGCAATCATTGTCGTCATTCCAAGCGCGAGGGACTAGGAGTCACTCACCTGCTTCTTTGGCCGCACGGACGGCAGCGATCGTCGCGTCCCCACAAAACCGTTGCATGTGCTCGTTGCTTCCAAATGCACCAACAGTCGAAATTACTCCCGTCGTGCCTGGCACGAAACGCACGATTCACAGCAATCTCCTTTGGGCACACACCAGTCGTACCTGCCACAGCCTTCTGCAAGTCATCCTTGGAGAAGACATCTCCCTTGAACCACTCCACCTAGACAGAATCAACTCATCGTCATGACGTGGGTTCGCGGATGCAGCGTGGAACGGACTTTGTCAAGCCATGGCGTGTTGTCCCATGCTGGACGACCTCCGCGGTTCAAGCTGCGAACTGTGATGCCTTTCTGTACGGCACGTTGTAAAATGTTGCTGCCGACGTAGCCGGTGCCGCCGACCACGAGAAGCAGGTGCTGGGACACATCGTGGACCACGCAGGCCATCCTTCGAGCGGGATATTGCAATATCGTGAGGTGACGGATCCAACGAAGTTCCGCGAAGGAGCATCATTCTGAGCAGGAATGCTGGTTGTTAAAGTGTATTTTGCTTGGACGCTCGGAGGTCGTGCGCGCTTGTCGGTGTCCTTGGGTCGGATGGAGATGCTCTGCTTCGAGCCTCGACGTCGGGGCGATGCGATCAGGTATTGTAGATGACGACGAAGGTGTGAATCCATCAGATAGATCATCCTGGGATGTCTCCTAGCATTTTACACACGAATGACTGTTCGCCACTCAAGGTTGTGAACTGCCAGTCCTGTTATTCGTGCAGGCGATTCAACGTACTTCCCGCGCTTGCCTTTGGCGCATGATCTCGCCTCACAATCGACCGCGATCGTTATGCACTCGACTATCCGTCCATGCTGCTAGGACACACCGTGCAAAAACGCACACACATCATGTCGACTCATCAAATCCATACTGTGTCCCCCTCAGGACAATCTCTTGATCTTTCGCACAGCGCTATGCTTCTCCTTCACCAACAAGTGCCTCTCATGCAACATAACAGCGGAGGCCTTCTCCGCGACTTTTCAACGTCAACATGCGCCGCCACCATCTTGCCGATGCCGTGGCAACATTGTTATGATGCCGAAACAATATTATTGTTGTGATTTACTGCTTGAAGTTCCTAACCACGAAAAAACGCTTGCTTGATTGGCTAAAATTCACCACAGTGATTAGGGTTCAGCCACTCGTATCCAGTTTGGTCACTTTTCAAATGTGGCGCTCGCGTGTATCTGCCGCTGCCGCTGCCGGCCGCTCGATCCAACGCATCCATGGAGTTCGCTCGTCTGTGTGCTTGGAGAACCAACTCCGATGTATGAGTGACGACGCGCACAAGCGTCGCGTTGCGAAGCCTCTTCCGGAAGCTTGGGCGAAGCTCGCGACCAAGGAACTGAAAGGCAAAGACCCTGAACAGGCGCTGCTGTGGAAGACGCCTGAAGGCATCAACATCAAACCTCTCTACACGAAAGATGATGTGGAGGTGCGCTATTTTGATGCATTTTCAATCATACACTCTCACCCCTTTGTTGTAGGACTTGACCCCGGCCCAACTTCCCGGTGTGTTTCCCTTTACCCGTGGGCCGTATGCAACGATGTACACCGCCAAGCCGTGGACTGTTCGTCAGGTAGATCTATGTATCCCATGTGTGGTATCGCATGCAGTTTGACCTAACACTGCGTGCCTTGCCGTCAGTACGCCGGTTTCAGTACCGCCGAAGAATCCAACGCGTTCTACCGCAAGAACTTGGCCGCTGGGCAACAAGGTTTGAGTGTTGCTTTCGACTTGGCGACCCATCGTGGGTACGACTCGGACCACCCTCGCGTTCAAGGTGATGTCGGTATGGCTGGTGTGCCCATTGACTCTGTTGAGGACATGAAGGTCCGTCCGTGTATCCGCATGCCGCGCCCGCTCACACATCACCTCTAGATCTTGTTTGACGGCATCCCTCTCGACAAAATGTCCGTGTCCATGACCATGAACGGCGCCGTGCTTCCCATCTTGGCTATGTACATCGTGGCCGCCGAGGAGCAAGGCGTCGACCAGAAGCTTCTCGCAGGGACGATCCAGAACGATATCCTCAAGGAATTCATGGTCCGCAACACGTTCATTTTCCCGCCGCAACCGTCCATGCGCATTATTCAGGTATGTATCGACAGAAGTGTTCATGTCGACGAATCCACCATTTTGTGCGCGAATTTTCGTTTGCCAGGGTCATTCTTTGTGTCATTTTGGCGACGGCCGTTTGTATTGTGTTTCGGTTTGGACCCTCAGAATCGAAATTTTCATCGTATCGTCTTGAAAAGCCTCATTTTTTTCTTGTATCACTTTGGAGGATTGACACGTCCTTTTTTCACGCAGGATATCTTTGGCTACACGTCCGAGTACATGCCCAAGTACAACTCGATCTCGATTTCAGGGTATCACATGCAAGAAGCTGGTGCCGATGCACGGTTGGAACTGGCGTTCACGATTGCCGATGGGATCGAGTACGTGAATGCCGCCGTCGCCGCCGGCCTTGATGTCGATTTGGTCGCGCCGCGTCTGTCGTTCTTTTTCGCCATCGGGATGAACTTTTACATGGAGGTCTCCAACTTCCATGGAAGTTTCCACGGATATCTGATGCTCATGGGTGACTAGGTCGCCAAGCTCCGTGCGGCGCGTAAGCTGTGGGCTCTATTGATCAAGGAAAAATTTGAGCCGAAGAACGCCAAGAGTTTGCTTCTGCGTACGCATTGTCAGGTACTTGCTGGCATCGAATCGTCGTGCTGATGGCAGTTATGGGATGAATGGGTAGACGTCTGGGTACTCGTTGACGGAGCAAGACCCGTACAACAATATCATCCGCACGACCGTGGAAGCGATGGCGAGTGTGATGGGGGGCACGCAGAGTCTTCACACGAATGCGTTGGACGAAGCGCTTGGACTCCCGACAGAGTTTTCCGCACGCATGGCGCGTAATACCCAGTTGATTCTCCAAGAAGAAACGGGCATTCCCAGGGTATGCGCTTGCTCGACCGCACATGAATAGCGGTGAAACCGCGATGCTTAGGTGGCCGATCCGTGGGGCGGGTCCTACCTTATGGAGAACCTAACACAAGAGCTGGTCGATTCCGCGATGGAGATTATCCGAGAAGTAAGTCGAACAAGTTTCAATTCACATAGCTCATGGAATGCATTTTTCCAGGTCGAAGACTTGGGGGGCATGGCCAAGGCGATTGAGTCGGGGATGGCGAAGCTTCGCATCGAAGAAAGCGCGACGAAAAAGCAAGCGCGCATTGATTCTCGTGAAGAAGTGATTGTCGGTGTCAACAAGTACCGTCTGCAAAACGAAGACCGTGTCGACGTGCTCTCGATCGACAACACCAAGGTCCGCGAGCAGCAGATCAACCGCATCAACGTACGTCTTTTCGCCACGACATGTGACAACGCGGTGGGGCTCATGCGATCGATTTGCAGGAAACCAAGAAAAATCGGGATGACGCCGCTGTTCAGGAATGCCTGCGCCGCCTGGTTCATTCCGCAAAGTTGACCGAATCCACTGGGCCAGGCAAGCATGAGTACAACTTGCTCAAGTTAGCCGTTGCCGCCGCTCGCGCTCGTTGCACGGTTGGCGAGATATCCGACGCACTCGAGTCTGTGTGGGGTCGCCACGTTCCCAAGGTATTTTTTCACGATTTTCTCCCACTTGCACGGATCGTGCTGATCGACACGTTGCTAGAGCTCGGTCGTGTCTGGCGCGTACCGCGACACGTTTTTGGGCACGGAGGCTGAAGGCGAGTACAACTCGGTGCTGGCCGAGGTCGAGCAGTTTGCCGAGAAGCAAGGTCGTCGCCCGCGTCTGCTTGTCGCCAAGATGGGGCAGGATGGTCACGATCGAGGGGCCAAGGTGATTGCGTCGGGGTTCTCGGACTTGGGCTTTGACGTGGATGTCGGTCCGTTGTTCTCGGTACGTTCGAGCATCGACGACATGCCGCAAAGTCATCGTGCTCGTGGTAGACGCCAGAAGAAGTCGCACGGCAGGCTGTCGATTCGGATGTCCATTGCGTCGGTGTGAGCTCGCAGGTACGAAATTGGTGCGAATAGGTGTCCCGTTGATGAAATCGGTGGTAGGCGGCCGGGCACAACACGTTGGTGCCTGCCCTCATGAAGGCGCTGAAGGATCAAGGCGCCGAACACATTTTGGTCATTTGCGGTGGCGTGATTCCCCCCAAGGTATCATCACGCCACACACATCTTGGCGGAAACGACGACGGTCGGGTCTCTGATGTGTGGGGCGGTTTAGGACTACGACTTCCTATACGAGCAAGGTGTGGGTGCAATCTTTGGCCCTGGCACACGGCTGCCGGCTGCAGCCCACGAAACCCTCAAGGCCATTTACAAGAAGATCGAGCAGAACGAAGAGTCCAACAGTGTGTAGCGGGGCTCAGAGGTACACCCAGGACAACAGCGTTTTCGTGCATGGGATGAATATGTCAGTGACCGTTGGGGTGTTTGTGGAATCGTCGCGAGTTTCGTC